GCTGCAATCAAGGTACATGTCCTTGACCAGAATTGAACCTGGGACCCTTCAGTCCTTAGGCCGACGCTCTATCCACTGAGCCAAACCTGTTAGGGAAGGGAAACTTGGTTTCTTTAGTTAAGTCTCCTCTGGCTCCCCAAAATGCCTTCCAAAATTATGTTTTGTTTCTGGACTCTTTAATAACTTACTACAGCCCTTCCTCCAGATTCCTGAACCCTTCTAGATGCTGGACAAGACCCCCAGCAACCTGGAACGGACACCATTATCCATGCCCAGCCAGAAGTGATGATTACAAAGATGTCACAAGAACGCACATCATTTCCTTTATTTTAAACTTCCGTAAAACTTCCTGGTATCTTACTGTATAAAATAAATGCACTGTCTCCATCAGAGGACAGCTGTCACACCTGGCCCCAGCTTTTCCCTTCTATCTTGTGTCTGTCTTTTTCTTTCATTTTCTCAATCCCGAACTGTCCCTACTCAAGATCTGGACCGTGTTCTAGCCTAGCCACACTGAACGTGGTAAAAGAGGGAATATTTATAAGTACACGTGTCCTTATCACCTCATTCCCCCAAATGTTTTCAATCCACAGTTGGTTATATTCACAAATGTAGAACGGATATGGAAGGCCGAATTTGTATGCATACAATGGAATATTATGCCCTTAAAAAGAAGGAAATTCTTGTACTAGTTGGTTTGGCTCAGTGGCTAGAGTCTGTCGGCCTGCGGACGCAAGGGTCCCAGGTTAGATTCCGTTGGGGGCATGTGCCTTGGCTGCAGACACATCCCCTGTGGGAGGTGTGCAGGAGGCAGCTCAGCAATGTTTCTAACTCTCTATCCCTCTCCCTTCCTCTCTGTAAAAGATCAATAAAATATATTTAAAAAAGAGAAAAAAAAGAAATGAAATAGATCTGTTAAAAAAAACTTAGAAGGCAGTGTTTTAGTGTTGGAAGATACAACATTCTAGATATCTGCTGCATGACAATGTGAATATACTCAAGTGCACATTTAAAAAAATATATATTTTATTGATTTTTTTACAGAGAGGAAGGGAGAGAGATAGAGAGTTAGAAACACCGATGAGAGAGAAACATCGATCAGCTGCCTCCTGCATATCCCCTACTGGGGATGTGCCTGCAACCCAGGGATATGCCCCTGACCGGAATCGAACCTGGGACCTTTCAGTCCGCAGGCCGACGCTCTATCCACTGCGCCAAACCGGTCAGGGCTTGTTAATTTTTGCTGTGGTCTCCAAGATAACAGAAAGCAGATGTCTCACTTTCTACAGACATTATTGTTTACAATGTGTATCATATTCTACACTTTATACCCATTACCTTGTTAAATACTCATAACAACTGGTGAAACTGGTATTAAACCCTCATTTTATAAATAAGGGACCAAAATCTTAAATAGGTTATAGGATATAAAACAATAACGATATAAAAAACATAATCTAAAAACACCAAAAACATGATAGAAAAATAACCCTGATACAAATAAGTTAGAAAATGATTAAACTTATTCCAATATCTCCCTGTACACCACATTAAGAGTGAAAATACTTTCAGAGTACGTGACTAATTTCCCTTGTGCTGAAGTATTTAGAACTTTAACGTCACACCCTTTGAACTTGAGAGAAAGCAACATATAACAGATCCTGTCCGAAAACGAGTTCAGGTAGGAACATTTCTACTCTGTCTGGAATTTGTCCTTAATAGTCATCCCAAATGCTGGCATCACGGGAAACTGTCTTTGAATCAATTTAAATGGGAGGCCAGTGTCAGATGGGCAAAAATCACGTCATCCTCAGAGCAACCTCCCGCTCTGCGGATTCTGTTATTACTTCTAAAAAAAACTCTGCAGATCCTGTGAATACTTCAGTTTCGATAATGTTAGGTCATAATCTTGTGATAATAAATCTGGTACCATTACAAAGACCCATTTACTATTGAGATTTCTCAAAAGCATGATGATTGCACCCACTTTCAATTTTAATTTATGACACGACATTCCCAAAGGAGTAATACTAGTAAGAAATTCAATGGGAAAATTTTCCTTTTCAGTACTACCTGTTGAATCAATGGAATCATCACTCAAATATGTATGAAAATCTCCACTGAGTACATCCAAAATTCCTTCATTTAATTTTTAAAACTGCTCATTTTTTTGAGAAATGACTGCACGCTTAGCCTCACATTTAATGAGGTACACTGTGCCAATAGTTCCCCGCTAGATGCTTTCTGTCGCCGAAGCCGCCTTTTTTCAACTTCAGAGGCACGCTGCTCTTCAGACATCTTCTGTCGATAACGCCGTATTTTTTCGGCTTCGTATTTACGGTATGCCAACAGTTGCTCTTCAGAAAAATTCTGTCGCCGAAGCCGCCTCCTTTCACTTTCATAGGCACGTTGCTCTGCAGACATTTTCTGTCGATAACGCCGGCTTCTTTCGGCTTGAGATCTACGTCGTGCCAATAGCTGCTCTTCAGATAAATTCTGTCGCTGACGCCGCCTTCTTTCAGCTTCGTAGATACATTGCTCTTCAGCCGTTTTCTGCCGCGGGACCTCCCTCCATGGCGGGCAAGCAGCTCTGCCATGAACGCGTCTGTTCTTGCAGTCTCCTGGTGATCGGCAGTTACGACGTGAGGGCGTGACAACCATGAGCACATTACCTCTTTATCATATAGGGTACTTTTCACCACAACTAAAAAGCCTCAGAGAAGTGTAAAAAAAATCCCACACAACTTCATCAACCAAAGAGGAATCTATTAGATAAGGGACTGAGTTCTTACCAAGGTGTCAAAATGTACAGTATGGAAAAACTTTTAATTTTTGAAAGGACTGAGGACAATGCTGCAGCTGGAACATCATCACTGGAGTGCTAGCATTAAATCAGTGGGAATATGCTTTCTCTGAGGGAGGTGTGACTGACGAGGCACGGTCAAGGCTGCTAAGACCAGAGCTCCTGAGACTAAAAGCTGGGGCTCACCCCCAGCCCTCGGCCACTCCCTAGCTGGGTCTCAGTGTTCTCATCCCTAACAGAGGAGTGACAGTGCCTGCCTCACAGCACTGCTGGGAGAGCCTGCTGTGGGAAGAGTGCCTGCACCCAGGAAGGGCCTATGAAATGGTACTCTTCTCCCTGAGGGGGACGGTCATCCTGGGGCCATGGGGTGGGGGAGAGTCTCTCGAGGGTCATCCTGCAGGTGGCCCTCCCACTATGGAATATGTTAGTACACGGTCCCAGGCCCTGGCTGTCACTCACCCAGGCCACAGGGTATTCTCACGAATCTCTCCATCCAGGGTGCTTGTCCTTTCTCCAACAAGGCAATCATACTTGGCTTCCGACAGCACAGTCCTGCACACAGGAAAACACGGGATTGAGCAGGACGTGGGCACCACGGCCCCAGGGCCAAGGCCTGTGCCGGTGGGAAGAGGATTCGTGGGCACAAAGGGAGCGTGGAGGAGGCAGAGGGCAGCCAGAGGATGGGGAGGAGGCAGGCTCAGGCACACCCGGCATTCTTCCTAACCACAGAGCCAACTGGTTTCCTGGGAAGTTGGAGCAGGAGCTCGAGGATGGTCATTAAGCTGCTGCCTGTTGGCTCCCGACCCCATCCTTGTCGCTCTGTACTCCACCCCCCTTCTTTGCCAGCTGCTCCCCGAGGCTTCCAGGAGTACAATGCCAGGCAGTGCATCCCCCAGTCCTGAGAGCCCAGCCTCTCCCCGTGCCCTGGGTGGTGGCTGCATCTGCAGTGCCATCTCTGTCACCCATGCCCATTGTGCCCCTTTAACAGCGCCTGTTAGGTGACTTCCTGACACCTCTCTCTCTCTCTCCCTACCCAAGCGAGGTCCTCAAAAGGTTACATACACAGCGACTATCTGAGCAGCAATTCCGCTCATAGGTACATGCATCCCCAAGAGAAATGGAAATATGCATCCCCACAAACACTCAGACACAAAGGTCAAGCGGCATATTCGTCAGAGCTGTAGAGTGGAAACAGCACAGGTGCCCGTCATGGATTCACGAATGCAGCCTGTACAATGGGCGTTAGTGGGCTGTACAGAGGACCGTGCTGTGGGTATGCTGTTGTGAAGGCAAACCCCTATCCTGTAAAACTACTGTTCGGAATTCTCTGCTATCCTTTGGACGGCTTCTTATTCTAAAAAAAATAACTTTGCTTTCTAGCCTGCTTTAGCCTGTTTGAATAATGAGAAAGATAAACTTAGCTGTCTGACCTTGTCAGGTTGATTTTTTAATTGGATAAAACTGTGTAGTTTTCAAGGCCGCCGCCAGCAAGCGCACAAAGGGCTGGCTCTTCCATAAAAAGGGAAGTTCTGCTTGTAGCTTTGCTTAGAATTTGGATTCATTTCCCTGAGCCCGCCGTGGTGAATAAAGTGTAACTCCAAACTCTCAGGGCGTTGCTTGGTTCTCGTCCAGTTTCTCTGTAACACTGTCACCCACTGCAGCTTGGAGGAACCTTGAGAACACGGTGCCCCGTGGAAGAAGGAGACACCAAGGGCCACATCCTGTGTGACCCCATGTCCATGAAAGGCAGGAACTGGCAAGCTCTAGGGCCAGAGAGGGACTAGTGTTTGCCAAGCGGGGGGCTCAGTGGGCGTGGGTGGGGACAGGGGAGCCCGCCGTGGTGAATAAAGTGTAACTCCAAATTCTCAGGGTGTTGCTTGGTTCTCGTCCGGTTTCTCTGTAACACTGTCACCCACTGCAGCTCGGATGAACCTTGAGAACACGGTGCACCGTGGAAGAAGGAGACACCAAGGGCCACATCCTGTGTGACCCCATGTCCATGAAAGGCAGGAACTGGCAAGCTCTAGGGCCAGAGAGGGACTAGTGTTTGCCAAGCGGGGGGCTCAGTGGGCGTGGGTGGGGACAGGGACAGTGAGTGCGAAGGACATGGGTTTCTCCTGGACGGTGCCGATGGATGCACACCCGTCGATAGAACAGAAACCCTGAACGTACCCCTCCTGAGGGCGGATGTACAGTGTGCAAGTCTCATCTCCAGAAAGCTGCTAAAAGAAAGCCAACCCTCACTGGGGTGGCCAGGTTCCCGTCCCTCGGGCCAGCGGGGCAGGGGCTCACCGAGAGAGAGCAGGGTCTGGTAGTTCTCCAACATGACGTTCTTGTACAGACCTCTCTGCTCGAGGCTCAGTCCCTCCCACTCCTCCTGGGAGAAGTAGATGGCCAGGTCCCCGAACGTCACCACCTGCAACAGAAAATCCCACAGCGGTCACTGTGGGCTCGTGTGTCCACACACCTGGAGCAGACAGCGGACCTGTCCCAAACGGGAGATGCAGGGGTCAGGAACCTACTCGGGACCTGAAGACAGGAGCCCAAAGGGGCAGGAGATCCTGCTGGCAAGTTAGTGGTGACGTGTGCAGCCACAGGGAACCAACGCACAGCTCAGAGGGCAGAGCTGCTGGTAGTGAGAAACCGGTAGCTGCTGGTAGGGAGAAGTCACTGCACAATCACTTCAGAGAGGCGAAGCCAGCTGGTCCCAGGGGGCTGGCGTTGCCACCTGCAGGCCTGGCCTCACCACCTCACGGCCTGCCCACAAGGCACGAGGCCTGAGCAGTTATGGTAGTCAAAGTCGGAGAGGATTCCTCCTTGTAAAATGGGCTGAAAACGTAGGGACAAAGCACCGTTAGGAGGTTAGCTCTGGAGCACAACATGGAGTCCGCTCCCCGACCCACCTCAGCAGGTTCTGGGGATGGGGGGTGGCTCTCCACCCGGAGAAATCAGTGGCTGTTGTCTTCCCCCTGGGGAGGGCGTTTCTTGCCCCCGGCAGGAACGCGGAGGTGCTGAAGGAATGGGAGCGATCAGTGCACTCTGAAACAAAGGCGGGGGCCTCCTCAGGCTCCCTGCTCTGTGGTGATGGCAGGGACCCGGGGACCAGGTCTGGGCGGGGTCGTCATGAGGCAGGACGGTCATGGAGGGAAAGCACAGGGTCCGTGTCTTACAAGAAGGAACACTCCAGAAGGAAGAGCGATGGCTGCTTACCCTGGGCTTGGGCTTCACCCGTGTGGCTGGCATCCTCTCCTCCTCATGGAGAGTCCTCGTCTGGGGAAGGGCAGCGCGCAGGGCAGGTGGGGCTGTGGGAGAAGAGAGGTCAGGAGGCTGGCCGGCCTTCTGGGCTGTCCTGGAGTCTCGCGGGTGAGAGCCCAGAGCCCCTCGCCCTGGACACACGTGCTCACAGGCGCGCACACGCACAGGACAGGAGGTCGGAACACCGGGAGCACCAGAGGTCAGCTCGCAGCGTCAGGAGAGGCCACAAGTTTCCCCCGTGGCACCCGGCACACGTCTCGGATGGGGACAGGGATGGCTCTGTGAAGACGTGGTGAGAGAGCTGTATTCACTCTGGCACCGGGCCAGGGCACTGGGGGTGCACAGGGCCTCCCCCTCACGGGTGTGCACCTGAGTTAATGCAGACAGACCGTAAGCAGCAGACACAGTAAGTCAGCAAATTACACGGCATTTGGGGAAAAGCTGTCGTTCTCCACACTGTGAGCTGAGCTGTGGTGCTCCCGAGGTCCTGACCTCCGTCCTGTGTGTGTGTGTGTATGTGTGTGTCTGTGAGTGATGTGAGCACGCGCGTGTCCAGGGAGAGGGGTGGCCTGCAGTGTCGCCCTGTTCTCACACTCGCTACCTGGACCCAGCGGCAGGCCGCCAGGTTGGGGTCATCCTACCAGACACCGGTCGCCGGTGCCCAGGGGACCCACGACTTCTGTCCCACGTGGCGAGTCAGAGGTTCCCACAACCCTCCCCCTGGGGCCCACAATTTGCTGGAATGGCTCACAGAACTCTGGGAAATAGTGCCTTCTGTGCGGCGGTTTATGACAGAGGCTGTGATAGAGGACACAGGTGAGCAGGTGTGCAGGGTGAGGCCTGGGAGAGTTCGGGGCACAGGAGCCTCTGTCCACGGGGAGCTGGGGTGCCTCAGCCTCCGGTGGGTGGCAGTGTTCATTAACCCAGGAGCTCTCTGAACCCCACAGTTTAGGGATCACACAGGTGGGATCGATCAGTAACTGCTTCCAGCCCCTCCCCGCTCTCCGGAGAAGGGGGTGCTGGAAATGCCAAGCTTCCCATTGTGGATGGTATTTCGGGGGGACAGCCCCCACCCGGGAGCACCCAGAGTCTCCTCATTAGAAGAGAGGACCCTTTTACCACTCAGGAATTTACATGCGCGGGGAGCCCTGTGTCAGGACCCAGGGGCAGATAACCTGCCCCCCCCCCCCTTTGTTACACACGTAGCGTGTTAGACAGCAGTGAGGGCTGGGTGAGGAAGCTCGGGATTGGTGGGTGGGTGGGCAGAGGCCGGTGGTACAGTAAGTAGAATGGTTATGGGGAGGCCCAGGCCGATGTGGCTCAGTGGACAGAGCATCGGCCTGTGGACTGAAGGGTCCCAGGTTCGATTCCAGTCAAGGGCACAAGCCTGGGTTGTGGGCTCCATCCCCAGTGTGGGGAGTGCAGGAAGCAGCTGATCAATGATTTTCTCTCATTATTGATGTTTCTTTCTCTCTACACCCCCTTCCTCTCTGAAATCAATACAAAAAAAAAAGGTTATGGTGAGCCTCTTGGAGAAGGTGAGACTGGAGCGAAGGTGGCGGGGACAGGAGGAACCGAGTGGGAAGAGCCGTGAGGTCCCGAGGGGATGTTGTAGGGCCCAGACTCGTAGCACATGGGAGGCTAAACATCATACAGACTCTTACCGAACCCGCCCCGCTCTGGGCGCAGTCCCGTGTGGTCCTTAGTCTAACAGGGAAGCAGCTCGCAAGGGCTTCTGGGGCACAAACGGGCTCCGCCGGGGCATCTGGGGGTGAACGAGGCACTGAGAGGTTAAGTGACTGTCCCAAGGTCACACAGCTGACGACACAATGGTCACACCCGGCTGTCCTTCTCCAGGGCTGTGGTCAACACGACACCAGGCCTCCTGGCTCCTTCCTCAGACCCCGGGATGGCCAGGAGCCGGGGAGCCTGGGCCGGGAGGCTGCACCCTGTGACAAACATCCCCCAGCAGCAGAAGAGGTGGATCGCCCGGCTCCCTGACTGCCTCACAGCAGGAAAACTCTCGTTGGTGGTTTCTGTTTCATGTGGAAACACACAGTGACTTTCGTGTTCTGCATCACAAGAAATCTGATCCGTGTGAAGGTAGAAAGAGAAAAGAATCGCGCTTGAAGCTGCTCACCGGATGAGTACATGGCCTGCTCGCCCTGCGCTGCTCAGGTGGAACGGGTTGCTCCGGGCAGCGCCGTCCTGTGGTTGCTCATGGCCACGCACCCAGTGTCGGAGAAGCACGTTCTTGTCCACAAGGCGATGTTCTCCGAGGACCTCACAGGGCTGGGGA